CGTTCTCTATCTGTCCAAGAACTCAGCGGACATGGAAGGATCCTGGTGAAGACAGAAAGAGAGAAAGGGTTGATCTGGTACGGTTGTAGCCTGGAGGGTAAGGCGTAAAGAATGGTCTATATCGAAATGGATGGCCTGGCTATTGAGTTAGTGAACTGGCACCGGACGTGACGGAAATGCGACCAAGGATCCGTGTGTGTCCTCCTGCTGCGTATACGCGACGTCTCGTTCGAGGACATTGGCATGTGACTTGAATGCTCTGTCCATGCTCTGACGTGTTGTAAACGAGGGTCGGCTCTTTGAGTATGTGGTCTGTGTGTCCAATATAGGGATTCTCGTGTGTGATCGTTGTTTATCGTGTTCCTTGGTCGTGCAGTCGAAATTCTAAATAATAAAGGCTGGACGAGGGACAGTTTTGAAGGATATTCTTATCGAGTTTTTGTCGGGTGTCGTTGATAACTGGTGGCTCGATGAAAGGTGGTCAAAAGTGTCTGCAGGTTACGTAAATTTACATAACACAAATTTTTTTACAAAATTGTTATTTAGTCGTGACGATTTCGAGGTTGTGTATGTTACAGTCAAAATTCTTATCCAGGTAGCTGGGTATTTCCACTACTAAACTCCTGCCAATTTATATTAATATCGAATCTGCTACTAATTCTTTATTGATCTGAAATTGATGCTGTGGCGATCAATAGCAGTTTACCTCATTTTAATTAATTCGAATGATAAAAATTTCGTTGAAAAATTATTATAAATGCTACCTTTTTTTGAGAAGTTTTGTGCAACTTGCAATGCACAGTGATTGCAAAAATTTGGTCTACAGTGTATCCGACTGGTTTTATGTGATTGATTTTTTCGGAAGTGGTAAAGGAGCAACTGCAAGGTGAAAGACCTCGTGTATTGGGTAAAACTATTGGTTCAGGGGCAGTTATTTCTATTGTAGGAGGGGTTGGGGCAATTTATGGCTTGACCTGTACGTCGCAGTTTGGTGAACTTATGAATTCAGGGTCGTAGATCTACCATGTGTTGAAACGCGACACTGTTCGTACATAGCAATTGAATATTTATACGTTGTTAAAATCGCTGCTGCATGCTTCTTGATATACACCGAAATGTTTAACAATAATGCAGCTTGAAATGCAGAGATGCATATACACTCGAGACATCATTATCTCGAAATGAAGACGTTCCCAGCACGCAACCAAGTAGGATACTGTATTTCCGCGTGAGATTTTTAGCTCGCGGCCCCCTTTCTTGTTTTCCGTTTTCCAAGCTAGCTAATGAAAGCTTCCAATGCTTCTAGCAGTGTAGCCGAGTCATTGAGCCGCAAGTCTGGAGCCTCCTCCAGAAAAGGCTAGTAAGAGGCTCTTCCGCAATCTGGATTCCCTTTTGTTTCACTCTCATTCATCTTTCGAGCCGTGTAAACGGCAGGTAGAAAATTCGCGTTGTAGGACTCGGCTAATGTCGGAGAAACAGTCTGGAGGGAATTCCAGCGAAGGTAGATCATTGATAAACTGCTAATCGGGAAGCACGGAGTAAAACGATAACGATATTTCGTTGAATTTTGTGCAAATACGATTCTACCAATAACTTCAGAATTCGAAAAGACTGAAAAAAAAAGTTGATTTCGTTTTGTTAGGTGTTCAGCAAGAATTAAACGCTGCACTCTCTTATTCCACGATATCGAAAAACAATAGTATCCTGTAAACGCTCTCGTCGACCGATTATCAGATATTAAAGTTCTCCATTGAAACGGGATAAATAACACCTTTAATTTCCAAATTACCGAAGCATGACAGTCACGCGAATAAATAAACAAGTACGGTAAATTCTCTACAAGTGTCAGTCAGTTTGGATTCTACAAGTGTCAGTTAGATGGTCCTACGCCTAGGTCTGTGTCATTGCTGCGCCTACGTTATCTCGCTCGCAGTCAGTCAAGCGTGTAACGCTACACCACTCGATTTCTTTTACGAGATTTCACGGCTCGACAATTCATAATAGAAAAATATAATTTCTTTAATTTTACTTTTTTTCATCTGAAATTTTTTTTTAAAATTTCGGGATAAAGAAACGTAAAATTAAAAAAGTTGGTATTTAAATCGCTTGGTTGCCTCGACTCACGTTTCATCCTTATCTTTTATTCGCTGTCCTTGTCTACGTTCGGCAAACTACAAAGGTGGGCGCGAGGCTCGAAAACGTAGTCCCCTGACTCTACAAGTGTCAGGTTTAGCTTCCTTGCGGACTGACACTTGTGGAGAATTTACTGAATTTACTCGACGTGTTCGAGATCGATTGCACGAAACTGCGATGCTTGGTACAGAGAGTGAAAAACGAGAAAAATTGGTCGCATAAATATAAGTTGCCCGGAGAAATTAAACGGTCCAGGTTTATCAAAAGGATTCCTTTTATTTACAGTTTGGCGTGCTGTTGATGGTTCGTCTCGCTCTCCTTCACGGCGTTCTACCGAAGTTCTCGCCGCAGGATAATCCGGCAGCTTTTCATCCCTGTTTCCACGTCAGGTGAGTATCCGTGTAAGTCCTTTATGCTACATGAGTCGTAACGAGGAATCCTATTACAATGTTTCAAAACTCATAGCGGCCTGCGGACGCACAGAAACCGTATACGGTTGTCGTCTAGCCTCCAAAAGCAGCAAGCGGTATCGCGTAAACACGAAATCAAAAAGGCAAATGACCAACAACACAGCTCGACTTTGCGCTTTGATCTTACGCGTTCTACACACAGATGCATCCCCTTTTTATCGATTATTTCCTGCGCGTTTCACCGGGGGGATCGGATGTATTACTGGGAGATTTTATAACCGTATTTTTGCAACAAGATATTCACGTGAAAAATAGAAACTGTATTAATTTATGGCAGAATTTTATGTTACAGTTGTTGTAACAATGCTGAATGTTTGTCGAGTGTCTTTTGAAAAAATTAAATTCGTCGCAAACATCTTTATTTTCACAATTTGCAGGAAATGAATTATTCGTAAAGAAAAGAAGAAGCAATGCATTTTTATTTGTCGAGTTTCTGTTAAATTCAGGTCAACGAGGAACCGAAAAAATGAAAAAATAAAATTCCTCGTGAAAATCAAAATAGAACAGTTCGTTAGAAATTTGAACAACACGTGAGTCGTTTTGATCTCGTGACATTTCCCTCAAGAAAAACCTTCCCGAGTTCACTCGACACAGTTAAACTGCCGATGCATTCAATTAGTGTCATTCTCTCTAAAAATTCTTCTCGATGACTCAATTTTTAAATTGGATGTCGTGCACATCTCCAGATCTTCCGACGTGAAACATGTTGATACTCGAAACATGCCATCCTCCAACTCTTGATCGAACCTCCAACACACCCTTATATCTCATCCGAGCAATACCTATTCTTTCAAACCGTACGTTGCTCATGGCCAATCCCAAGAGTAGCTTCTCTCCCCTGTCTCAGCCGGCGAAACAGTCACCCCGAGGCGTACCAAACAAAACGCCACTGTCAAGCCCCGTTTCCTGCAGGATATTCTTCGCGCACGAAGGATATCTCTTCGTCTATCGCTTCTCT